AAAACTATATTTATTTTTAATATGAGAAAGACATATTGTATACTCAGTTTCTTCATCCGCATATGGCGATCTTTTATCAGTCTGATTCTTGAGAACCTGCACTTTAATATCTTTATTTGAAATCGATTCCCCATTGCTGTCTACATTGTTATAATCAAAAAGTTCTGCAGTACCTAGATCATCGGTATATTCATAATGTTCCCCAGAATACGGATCATTAATCGAAATAATATCATCAATAGAATCCATTTTAATCTATAAGAAAAAATATAATTAAAAAAAAATACATCTGTAATATGAACCTAGAAAATATTGTTGATAATCGACAGCTTCTGGAGTTAATAACAATTCAAGAACTTCTCTCGATTTGTTTGATCAGTTTAAAAATGATTTAGAGGTGATGACTGTAAAATAACATAAAAGTACGATCGAAGTCGAATGCAAAATAGTTACCTATACTTAATGTGAATAAAAATAACAGTAAATAACTATTTGAAAAAAAATGTAAAGAGGAGAGGGATTCATAATTTTTTTGTCCATACGACTCACTGATGCAGAAATTATCTCATTTTTTTTTCTTTTTCGTTTTAATACAAAAACAAGCAAGCAATTATTCGCAACTGTCAGTCATATTTCTTTCTTTTTCTGATTTATATGACGTATATTATCTAAGATTAATAGAGGTAGAATATAAATACATTTTTTTTATCAGTTCTGTTATTCTCACGAAGCATGCGTCAGTAGTTAGATGTAATAGCTTGTAATTAGACAATATTCATCATGTATTTTATGTATAACTAACAAGTATTACGAATATGAAAGTTTTAAAAAAAATAATTATTCTCTAATAGAAGAAAATCGATATTTTAGAATTATCTTTGTATAATTGAAAAGCAATAATTATCTCATACGAAATTTTTTTGTTAAACTTTCGCATGTCCTAAAAATGGATTAAAAATAGATGACTAATCGAAACCATCATCATCTACTTAATTATCGATTTTTGCCCATTATCTGGATGATTTTTCTAATAATCTATAATTATGAAATCGCGTTCCACCACATTATACCAATTGTTTTTGTCGCTCTGATACATTTAAATTTCATTTTATTATCATATTGTTAACAAATATTATTATCAAAAATTTTATTCAAAACATCACACGATTATATTATTTATCATACAAAAAAAACACATTGTGGAATAGAAAAATGAGTATAACAATTTTATTTAGTTTTATCAGAAAATATTCGAAAAATAAAAAATTGTTTTCGCATAAACTTCGATTTTTATCACTTTTAATCTAAATCATAAAAAAGGACTTATTTTTTTCTTAAATGAAAAGCAGAATTACATATTCTCATTGGACTAACAAACTTCAAAATACGAAAGTTTTAAAGTCTGCATTAATTAAAAATTGATAAAATTATTTAAAACAGAATCTATGACGAAAAACAATATTAAATGAGATATTCAATCCAAAAAATAAAAGATGCATTTAAAATGAAATGAATATAAATAAAACTAATTATTTCTTTAGGTCAATCGATTTCTTAATTGACCAATATCATTTATAATACAATAACGATATCATGAAAAAAAAGAAATTTATTTTTGTCTGTAATAATATTAAAAAAATCTGTAGAAATTGTTTCTCTAATCAATGAGCAATTCGAAATGCATCAGAAAAAGTTAGTTATAAATCGTGATTTTACACCGATTTTTTTCTTATCGAAATTAACAAAAAAAACATCAAGATTGTCGTGATATGAGTTAGGAGAGAACATATGAATGAAAAATGACTCATTTTGAAAGAAGGAAAAATTACGTTATATATGTTTTTATCTATTCAACTTGTTGAAATATAATAAAAAATTTTTATCAATAGTATTGTTGCTTTAAATCAACGGTTTTATTTCATTGTAAACTAAAAAATATGAATGATAGTTTCGTCAATTCGTATATTTATTATTGACTAATGTCGTTGGCTGATGAGTCATTCATTTTCTCACTCTCTTAATATTATAAATATAAATGACTTGTCCGCATTTTTAATCGGCATCTATGTAAACACTAAGTAAAAATAAATAACTGCTAAGTTGATTTCTGCCAAGTAAAATTTGTATATACTCGGTAAGTAAGTTAAATGTCTAATAAATTTATTGAATGTTCATTTAAAATAATATTTATCGATAATTAAAATTATTTCTAAGTGTATTAATCAATATACATGTTAAATTTCTAATTATTAGGTAAATTTATTGAATTTATCGGTAAAAAATATAAGTTTGATAAGTAAAAACGAATGACTGGTAAATCATTTTTTTTTCGTTCGTTTTCTTAGTGCGTTTCTTTTTACACACATCACATATACTTGGATTCTTTCTTTCCTGTCCATCACATGCTTTAGGTTTTTTCTTCCTTTCTCTACTTGTCGTGTTTTTATATGTATATTATGTTTGTTGAGATTTATTTCAGTCGCTCTACCTCGATCACCCAATGGACATTTTTCAAGAATGCACAATCCACTCCGCTATCTATAGCCTGTGATTTTTACAAATAAATAATGTGTGATTCAAGTATATTGATATTCAGTCTTATCCAACCGACTATTTGAAATTACTCATCTGATATAAGTTTTATATACATATACATATCTTGTGCTCCACATTTACTTCAAAACTACAAACAATGGCAGTTTTTATGGAGACACAACGATATAAAATCTCATCAGAATCTGACGACGAGATAGAAATAGATCAGCAGAATGTTCAAAGCACGACACTGATTTAACGTAGTATTGATTGTATAAAGACAAAATCTTTTCAAATTTTTTACTTATATAGTTCTATATTTATTATTTAATAAAAACTAATTTTTTACTTCACAAAAACTATTTATTTATTTGATATTTTGCCTAGAAAACTAAATGTTTTCATTATGAATTTATATAAATTACTTTCCAAAAATAGAACGCTTTACTTAGTTTTCATTGAAAATTACTTAACGCTTAAATAGTTGCCTTTTTAATCTATATAGAAATGAAGAATCTACGTCAGAATGACATATTACATGTACATATTGGTGTTATTTTACTAATATCCGTTATATAAATTCCTTGTTGACTTACTTCTAATATGGAGAAAGATGACAATAATATTAATAATAAAAAATGGAGCGTTCATATACACAGAGTATTATAGAGCTTTGAAAAAAATGCTCGCCTATTTGTATATAGCATGTCGTTCATTATCATTGACAAATATTTTTAATACATGTTTGAAAAAATCGATAATGTGTCGAAACGTCCTGTACGATGACTGAAAAAATAAGAGCCGGAATCAAAAGCCTAGAAACATACGCATTATAATTTGATAATTTTAAAAGTTTAGTTGATGCATTATTGCAAAACACTTTTAACAAGTTTATCAGTTTAATAGTCTTGATATAGTGCATATAGATAAAGCAGTTCAAAACCAATTTTGATATATAATGATAAAGAGATCTACATTGTATCTTTTTTGAAACCCTATTTTTTATAAAATTGACTTAAATAAAGCTAACGCATTTTTAAACTTTATTATTCATTCGTCAAATATCAAACTTTTAGAAAATGCTTGATTTTATATAAAGTAAAAATTCAATTTGATTTTCTGCTGAAAGTCATAACTAATATTGATCAAATCTCATTCGTATCTAAATACAGTCATATCCGCATGCAGATCGCGACAGCATAGGGCCAAATGAATCGAGTTTTAATGAACGTTACTTATAACAAGAAGATTAAAAAGATGATAGAAAATACCTGAGTTTTTTGTAAAAGATAAAGAAAAGGAAATTAAAAATGTAATATATTAATAAAAATATGAGTATAATTAAAGATATTAAAGGACCACGTAATAGTGAGTCAGTGTATCATAATACAATTGCTCAGGATCAACATCATTCTCAACAATTGATAGAATAAAACATAGGATAAATATTTCTATTGGTTTGAGATCTGTTCGAAGATGTGCGACTATTTTTTTTCTATATTAATTTTTACATTCTCTTAGTGTTTAATATACATCATAAGAAACAAATTTGCTTTAAAAAGACTACTACAATAGAGAGCTTATTCTCTCCAGTTCATGATTGAAATTGATGAAAGAAAATCATCCAAGTAAACATACGGTATAATATAAGTAGAATGTATTTAGTGAATAATTTATTAAAATATCCAAAAGGTAGTCGTACAAAAACGAAAAATTAAATTGTTGAATGTCAGGAATATTGATAACTATTTTTACTAAATGAAACGTTTAATAAAAATATTACCATGATAAAATCATAGTTATTGTTAACCAACACTTTCATGCGTTCAAATTATTGATGAATCATATTATTTTTTTTAGCCCTACGCTTCTTATTCGTGGTTCTATTGGTCTGTTATCTTTTAATCATTTTTGATTTATTTATTTTTCTTAGACAAATAGAAAAACAATCATTCAACACTACATATCTCTTTTATTTTAAAGTACGAAGGACTTGAGTATCTACGTGGCAACATTTTTGCCATGATTCTATATTCATCATTCGCTGAAGCCTATAGGGCTATCAATATCAGAATTTCAGACCAATCGTGGTTTCGCATTATAAAATCAACAGTGATTATACAGATTATTGATTATCATAATAAAGTTCAGAAAAAATCTACTTTAAAGTAACAAATCTATCAATTGAAATTCATATACACTTCATATGATATCTACCGAAAAACAGTCTCTCAATCGTATATTTTGTGAAATTCTAAAAACTTCAGTATAAACCTCTAGTGAATGGCTGCTTATCAGACTATCAAGTAGATCTACTAATCTCATTTTTGGCAATTCTATGCAAATAAGTTGTGTAACAATAGCCACTTCTGAAATAAGAACTTGGTTATATTTCAGTGTCTGCTGGTTCGATACACCGCAATATGTGAAGAAACGAATTTTTTTTTTTTCTTTCTAAACATCAAAAAACGTAAGTAGCTGTCGTATGTCATCAAAAGCAAAGCATGGTTGTGGTTCTGTATGCATGGCTGAGCTGTCTATGGCACCTGAAAAAATACCAAACGTGCGAGCACCATTTGCATCAAATGCAGAGCCAGCTACATGAAAAACTTTGGTCAAATCACCATGAACCGCATCTAATGCTTGAGCATACATTGCTGAACAAGTTTTGAAACAATTGGCTGGATAATCCGACGATAAAATCAATGATTTATTCAATGATGGAAATACACGCGCAGCAGCTTGTAAAGTATTTGTATCGCCATTTGAAAGTAATCCCAATTGATATTTTGTACTTAATTTTTCCAGAACTTCCACAGCACCCTCTCGTGGTTGTAAATTATTCCAAGTAGATAATAGAGAATCAAAAATAGGACTTCCTTCAGGTATTTTATTCGATAATCCAAATGACATCAAGATATCTATCAGAGATGAACGAATAACCCATTGAAAAGGTTGATGTGTCACCGATGATGAAAATGAATGTCCAAAATAAGATGCATATGCATCAAGCCAAGTATCAGTAAATTTTTCAACTTCACCCGACGATAAAGTCGGTATAAGTGCAGCAATATTGCGTTGTAATGATATATCGGTAGACATTAATGCACCAAATAGATCAAATGTCAATACATGTAGCGTCGAAACATTCAGTGACGAACAAGAAATAGCAGCAGATCTTTCAACAAACTCATCAGTCTTCGACGCTTTGAAACTGATAGGTAAGGCTGAACATGAAATAAATAAGATCAACGCAATAACGACAATATAAAAATATTTCAGTGTCTGCGCCATTTCCTTTCGTTTCAAAGTATAATGTGAAGATATAAAAAAACGCGAGGATTAAAAACAAAAATAATAAAAGCATTATAAGGGCTTAGCAATCCTTAGAACCATTGTTTTTTTTTCGAAATCATTTGCAAATAAGATTGATTTAGAGATTAAAAAAAATGATAGTAACTAAAATATAATGAAGAAATTTTTTTGTTTAGGAATTAGTTATTGAAATAACAGTCAGAGTATGTAGTGACGGATATTGATTAATATCATAATGTAACACAATTCAAATTACAGTTCTTTAGCATATTATATTTCTATATGAGCAAATTTCAAGTGAAAAGGATTGTCCTTCGATATTTTCTTTCATATTCAATGTTGACGAATAAATATATTCGATCTTTCTTGTAAATTGAATAATGACTACTATTTATAAAAAATAAATACATAAATAAATTGTGGGAAGACATATAGTTAAAGATGTAGCAAAGGATAATATATTGTTAGCGAAATTTCGGACCCAAACCCTCAAGAAAAGATCGTCAGTTTTATTGTTTTTAATACAAACAAAAGTTGTAATATTTAATCTTTGATAGTTTATTGTACTTTATACATGTAAAAAAGAAATTTTATATGAAAAGAATTATAAGTTCTGAAATATTAACGCCGACCTTATTCTAACCGTAAATTTACCTTTGTTACTCGAAAAAATAAATAAAAGTGCTTCATGAATATATTAATACTAGTTTATCTTATTTTTATAATTTTAAAAAATAAAGAAACAAGTAATTTATATCAAGGGTGATAGTTTATTGTTATTGTTATAAATAACAAATAACTTTTATTTTTGAAAAAATATCTTTTCTCACCTCATTCTATATTTTAATTGTGTCCGTTATGTAAATTGAGATTTAGGAACGAATTTTCTGTATTTATACTAATGATTTATATGGTTCAACCAAGATATTAAGCTAACTGAATTTTCCGAAAAAAATTATTTGTTACTTATCTGTTATTTATAAAAAAAATAACTACCGTAGAAACATTATTATTATTTATAACAATAACAAAAAAAGTTATTATCATAAATAACGAATTACAAAAATTGTTATTGTTATTCGTAACAATAATCTTTTTTGTTACAGTTATTGTTATTTATAACAGAACAATAACAATAACTTCTCACCCCTATATATATATATCCCATTCTAATATAGATTTTTCATTTTTATATAAATTAGAAATGCGGACAAGTAATTTATATTTATAATATTAAGGGAGTGAGAAAATGAATGACTCACCATCGAACGACATTAGTCAATAATAAATATACAAATTGACAAAACTATCATTCATATTTTTTAGTTTAAAATGAAATAAAACCGTTGATTTAAATCAACGATACTATTGATAAAATTTCGTTACTGTATTTCAACAAGTTGAATAGATAAAAACATATATAACGTAATTTTTCCTTCTTTCAAAATGAGTCATTTTTCATTCATATATTCTCTCCTAACTCATATCGTGAAAATCTCAACGGCTTTTCACTGATGTCGATAAGAAAAAAAATCGGTGTAAAATCACGATTTACAACTAACTTTTTCTGATGCATTTCGAATTGCTCATTGATTAGAGAAACAATTTGTACACATTTATTTGATATTATTACAGAAAAAAAAATTTTTTTTTTCATGATATCGTTATTGTGTTATAAATGATATTAGACAATTAAGAAATCGATTAAACTAAAGAGGTAGTTAGTTTTATTTATATTCATTCGATTTGATTCCAAATCTTTCTTTTATTTTTTAATGAAAGATAATTTCTCTTTTCGCTTGAGTATCTCATTTAGTATTGTTTTTCGTCGTCGATTTTGTTTTAAATAATTCTATCAATTTTCAATGAATGCAAACTATACAACTTTTGTATTTTGAAGTTTGTTATCCCAATGAGAATATGTAATTCTGCTTTTCATTTAAGAAAAAAAAACAAGTCTTTTTTTATGCGTTAGATTAAAAGTTGTAACAATCGAAGTTCATGCGAAAACAATTTTCTGTTTTTCGAATATTTTGTCATAAAACTAAATAGAATTCTTTTACTCATTTCTCTATTCCACAATGTATTTTTTTTATGATAAATAATATAATCGTCTGATATTTTTGAATAAAATTTTTGATAATAATATTTAATAACAACATGATAATAAAATGAAATTTAAATGTATCAAAACGACATAAACAACTGGTATATTGTAGTGGAACGCGATTTGATAATTACAATTTAATACAAAAATCATCCACATGATGGGCAAAAATAGATGATTAAGCAGACGATGATTGTGTCGATTAATCACCTCACCTATATTTAATCGATTTTAAGGATATGCGAAAGTTCAACAAAAAATTTATTTCACACAAAACTAAGTCAAGAAAAAATTTTTACTGATGAAAATATGTCTTGTAGAAGATAATTTGTAAATATTGACATCATAAATCTTAAAATTCTCATACGAGATAATTGTTGCTTTTCAGTTATAAAAAAATAGTTTTAAAATATCTATTTTTTTTCTATTAGAGAATAACTATTTTTTAAAAAAAATTTTCATAATCGTAATAAATAATAATTGTACAAAAAAATACATGACAAATATTATCTAATTACAAGGTATGGTAATCAATCATGAGTGAAGATTTCGTTTAGAGAACAGAATTGGTGAAAAAAATTACCTATGTTTTTTTTTCTCCATTAATCATAGGCATATGCGTTATGTAAATAAAAAAAAAAGAAATATATGTTGTCGTCACTGTTTAGTTACTTGCTTGTTTTTGTGTTCAGACGAAAGAGAAAGAGAAAAAGAAAAGAGATAATTTTTATATCAGTAAGCCGTGCAGAAAAGAAAATATGAATCCCTCTCCTCTCTATATTTTTTTCGTAACGTACTTTTTTTTTACATCAATTGTAATTAACTATTTTGCTTCGCTTCGATCGTACTTTTATATTATTTCACAGTGATTACCTTCCAGTCATTTGATAATTGATCAAATAAGTAGAGAGAAACTCTTGAGTTGTTATTATTTCTAGAAACTGTCGAATATCACCGATATTTTTGGTGTTCATATTACAAATGTGTTGTTTTTTAACAATATTTTTTCTTATTGATTAAAATAAACTATATTGATAATATTAACTCGACCAATTATTCATATTCTGGAGAAGTTTTTAATTTTAACAATGTAGATAATAATATGGATTCGACTTCAAATACAGAGATTAAAATACATATTCCTAAAACTCAGACTGATAAAACAACGCCATATACGAATACAGAAACTGATTATGCAATTTCTTATTCTTTTAAAAATAAGTCGCACTATTGGATATGAAAGTAAGTAAAGAAAAAAAGACATTTATTACATTTTAATTATAAAAAACTAGTTCTAAAATATCCATTTTCTTCTATCAGAGAATAACTATTTTTGAAAATTTTCAGTCGTAATACATATTAGCTGCATATAAAATAAATGACAGATATTATCTAATTAAAAGCTATTACGTCTAACTATTGACGTATGTTTCGTTTGAGTAGCAGAACTGAGAAAAAAATGATCTTTGTTTTTTTATGTTTACAGTAATCATATACATACGCGTCATATAAATAAAAAAAAAAGAAATATATGTTGTCGTCACTGTTTAGTTACTTGTTTGTTTTTGCGTTGAGTGAAAAGAAAAAAAGAAAAGAGATAGTTTCTGCATCAGTGAGCCGTGTAGATGAATGATTATAAATCCCTCTCCTCTTTATATTTTTTTTCGTAATGCACTTTTATTTTTATTTCTATCAGGTATAGGTAAGTATTTTGCTGCGACTTC